GCTCTCACTATGTACCTCAGGCTGACCTTGAACTCACTATGTATCCTAGACTGGCTTAAGAGTTGTAGCAGTGATCCTTCTGCCTCAGCCTCCCAAGTGCTGGGGTTATAGTCATGTGCTACCGTGCCCAGCAACAAATCTGATATTATAGGTGGGTAAAGAAGACAGATTAGGTGACTTGCTCAAGGGCTACTATGAAGTAGAATTTGACCGCAGATGCCTATTAATTGTATGTCCTCAGTTATCCTGACTTTAAAGATGTTTTCAAACACTACACTCTGCTGCAGATGACCACATAACTGGTTTTGAAACTGGAATACTTATGAGCGTGAACGAGAAATCATCATGATGGTATTGAAACAGAAGGGTAAGTGGGAGTTGCCCTAAACAAACTGGGGTAGGTGGTCACCTAACTCCGCTGCCCCTTACTGGATAAATGTTTGCGGACTGAACGAATAAGGGAAGGCATAGATGGCTAAAGTGCTATCATTTCACTCCTGTGGGTCAGCTGCAATAGACTCTGATTTTGAGAAATGAACTTGAGGCCGGTTGTAGGAGACGAACCTCCTCTCAGTGGAAGTGAGTGCTGATTCTCAGAGGTAATTTTAGAAGAGAAAAAGCAGGAAGAAGATGTGCTCTTTTTAGAAGAAGCTTCCTCCACTGGCCAGTCAACAGAGCCTTCATTCCAGTTCAAAGGAGCCTGAGGGAACACCGTCCAACCCACTACCCTCCTGGCCAGCTCCGCAAGGCGGCTGGGGAACTGACAGGATGTTTAAGACAAAGCCCATAAGGCCACGGGGGGCCTGCCTGCCTCTGGGACAAATTCTCTCCAAGGAGCCCCTACCCACAGCGACAGGCCTTAAAGACGCAAAAGGGGGAGCTGGCGCACGAGCTCGTTTTTGTGTTTAAAATGTCCATAGAAATCATAGCTTACATCCATATCCACATCTGTCTTCACTTATATTAGAGTTAGAATTGAGGTAACTCAGTGAGAAAATGCTTACTATGATAATTGGTGGTTATATGTGTCTCTGATTACAGCCATACTAAAAAGTTATTCACACTTTTAAAAAATATAGTATCATTTCTAGGCACAATTTAAATGAATCTGATACCTGCAAGTGTGAATGGGTGAAGGTCAGTGAAACTTGCTGCTGGGGCTAGGCCGGATGTGCACATATTTTTGAAAAGCCCCAAGTAACTTTGGATGTCTTACACAGTGGAGTTTGCACACTAACCTGGCGGTGAAGGCCCTCACAACCTCACACTAACCTGGTGGTGAAGGCCCTCACAACCTCACACTAACCTGGTGGTGAAGGCCCTCAC